TCTTTAAACTTATAATAACTGCTTTAGTAGATATCTAGCCTATTATAAACTTTATTTTATTAAAGTTATATATGTTATTATTTTAAATGCTATACTTAGCTTTAATATTTTTTATAAAGTTAAACTAGCTTTAAATTACTATAAAACTTTTATAAAAAGCTTTTTTATAGTTATAATTACACTTAAACTTTACTTTAAGCTTTAAGTAACACTTAATAAATATATTAAGCTAGTTTATACTAATATAGCTTATATTATACTTAGTGTGTAAAGAATTAGCTATATTAGCTATAGCTACTAGCTAGAGGGGAAATTCTTATGCATTTAGCTTAAGTATGTGCTAAATAATTACTTACTTTTTATTATTATCTAGCTTTTATAAGTTAGCTATATAATTAGCTTAAAAAAGTTATTTAGTATGTTAGTTACATATTATTTTTTAAAAAACTTTATAAATAGCTACAGCATGTTACTTAAAAAGTATTATATTTTATTTAAAAAGTTAAAGTATAAGCTATATCTAATATTCTTTTAACATATTTAAGTAGTGTTATTAGAAATATATTAGTATAAAAAAAGTAGTGTAGTAAGGTCTTAGCAAAAGTAAGCAACTTAGGTGTGTAAGCAACTTGCCTGTAAAGTACGTTAGTAACTTTAGAATAGCTTACTTACTTTAGCTTGCGCCTGCTTCTTTACCTTCTTTCTATAACAACGCGCTCTAGACTTCTTTAGAGCTGTTAAGTGTAAAAAATTTAAACTATTAAAGCTTTTTCTAGTTTAATCTACTTTCTTTTATATAATTTATATTATATAGCTACTTTATTAGCTACTTAAAGCTTAGTAATTCTCTATTATACTAATACTAGCTTATATAACGTACACTATAAGCAAGTTACTTACACACCTAAGTTGCTTAATTTTGCTAAGACTCTACTAAACTACTTTTTTTACACTAATATATTCTTAATAACACTACTTAAACATGCTAAAAGAATGTTTAATATAGCTTATACTTTAAAGTTTTAAATAAAATATAACAATTTTAAAGTAATATACTATAGCTATGTATAAAGGTTTTTAAAAAATAATAAATAACTAATATAGTTAACGTACTTTATAGGCAAGTTGCTTACACACCTAAGTTGCTTACTTTTACTAAAACCTTACTACACTACTTTTTTTATACTAATGCATTTCTAATAACACTACTTAAATGTGTTAAAAGAACATTAAATGTAGCTTACACTTTAAGCTTTTAAATAAAATATAACACTTTTTAAGCAACATACTATAGCTATTTATAAAGTTTTTTAAAAGATAATAAGTAACTAACATACTAAATAACCTTTTTAAGCTAATTATATAGCTAACTTATAAAAGCTAGATAATAATAAAAAGTAAGTAATTATTTAGCACATACTTAAGCTAGATATGTAAGGATTTCCCTCTTAGCTAGTAGCTATAGCTAAT